GACCATCAAAAATTCAGCAATTTACAACATGATGTCGAATGCCCAAATTCGTTTATTTGTAACTAAAAATGTTTTCGAAATTTCATTTAAAAAATGCATTTGTGACAATACCTAAATGAAATTCTTATGCAAGAAACAAAAATTGAACAGTTAACACAAATTGTGTTAATTGTACAATTATCATTATTATAATGTCAGCAAAGCGGCAATAAAATATTTACTACTATTTTGCATAACATACCTCTGCGAGAGCGGATTTTCGGCCATGACAAACATGAAAACTAAACATCGTCACTGACTTCAACTCGAAGATGACTTAAAACTGAAGCTGACCAAAAAGCAACCAGATTTTACAAAGTGGTGCATAGAAAATCGTGGACATTTGTCACATTAAAATTAAGTAACCTTAGGGGCCATCCATAAATTACATAAGGTATTTTGGGGTAAATAGGGGTTAAGGATTTCTTACTTGGGGGTAGGTGGGTAATAGATCTCGTCTTACGTAATATTTTTATTTTTATTTTTTGATGGCGTTTTGAATTTGGCTTTAATTTGGCAGTTTCTATTAAAAACGCTCGTTGTGACGTGATAGAGTAATAACGGCCACATTTCTTTACGCAGCGCTCGAGAAGCACTTTACAGCGAACACACTAAAACTGGTTTCTAATTGGCAAACATTGCTCATGACATCGTTTCGATACACTCTCTGTACCTTTTGTATCTGTACCTTCTACATGCCTCCATCTATTTGGAGGAAGATACAGATACTTCAGCCGACAAGAAGAAAGCTTTTGGACCCATCTGTGTAGATATTAATGTCTGCATGATTATCCATGGAGGAAACAGATGAGACCAAATAACCTTGTTTACAGGATGATGATCAGAGATAGTAAGGTAATTGCAGTGTTGTAGCGTATGAACTGCCGTAGATAGGAGTAGAGACCGTTGTTGAGTCTTGACATTTGTAGTTCTGATGTAGTAGTTTAGAACCTTTTCTACAATACATAGTGGCAAAGGAAGGAGCTCTGCTAGTATCAGAGAGACATTAGTAGAAACAATCCTGCAGCACTTTGAAATTCTGATGTCACTCTAGCTTTGAAGAGAGAGTAATTTACTTGCTACTCAATTTTTACTAGTTACATGACCACAGCCAGAGGACGCGTAAAATAGCATTGGTTGTATTGCTTCATTATATGGACTTTTATAAGCTTTACTATTTAGTCTCCAGATGCTTCTAGCACATTTTAGCAGCTTATAGTTTATTTTTTTGGCCTTAGCCACGATGTAATCAATATGGTTTAATCAATATGGCAACAGAATGTGGTTCCTCTCTATTTTCTCTTGTTTTATTTTGTATAACGTTTCTGTTTACACGTGCACAAGCTGGTCGATCTGTCAAAGTTTTTTGCATCTTTTGTGGAAATTAAAATTAATATAAAAATAAAAATTATAATGTTGATTAATGATGATGATGATAATGATAATAATTACTCAGGGCATCACCTACATGAAACCTAAAAACAAAAAACCACAGACTCCACAGAATACAGACCAATTACATGTCTTCCAACACTGTACGAATTATTGACATCCTGTATCACAAACAAAATATACAAACACTTTGAAGAACACGACATTCTTACAGAACAACAAAAAGGTTGTCGTAGAAATCACAGGGGATGCAAAGAACAGTTACTCATAGATTCAGTCATTCTACGGCAAGCACACAAACAACACAAAAATAACACATGGCATATATAGGCTACAGAAAAGCATTTGACAGTGTCCCACACAGTGGGCTGCTACATCTTCTACACATGTACAAAATACATCCATCACTCATTGCATTCATCCAAAACACTATGAAGCACTAGAGAACACTACATTTCAGGGTTAGTAACACTTCTATACAAACAAACGAAATATTCATTAGGCGAGAAATTTTCAAGGAGATTCCTTGAGTCCTCTCTGATTCTGCCTAGCCCTGAACCCATTAACCATCATGTTAAATAACACGCAATATGGCTACAATATCAAACATGAAAAAACAACACAGTTTACGCTATTAAATCTCATGTACATGGACGACATAAAATTTTATGCATCCAAACAGAAACAACTTCATTAACTCTTACAAATCACACATTCATACACCAAGGACATACAAATGGAGTTTGGCTTAGAAAAATGCAAAAAACTTCACGTAGAAAAAGGAATCCTGAAAAAAAGAAGATTTTGCACTTGAAAATGGAGACGTTATTGAATCCATGGAAAAGGGCGATTTCTACGAGTATTTAGGATTTCAACAGGCCAAACTAACAGAACATACAGAAATAAAGCAAAGATTAATTAAAAAATACCAAAGTAGGTTAAACGCTATTCTCAGAACACAGTTAAATGAAAAACGCACAGTTAAAGAAATAAACACATATGTCATCCCAGTACTCACATACTCTTTTGGTATTATACATTGAACTTACACAGATCTCGAGCAACTCCAAATGGAAACAAGAACAACAATCACTAAGCATAAACAACATCATCCTAAATCCGACATTAAAAGATTAACGTTTTCACGTAAAAAAGGCGAACGTGGCCTGATCGACATAGTTAACCTTCACTACAAAAAGTACGGTCACTGCAAGAGTTTTTCTAGAGGAAACAAGAAACATCACAATTACACATAGCAGTAACTCTAGCAGACTCAAATAACACACCATTAAACTTACATTCACATCATGCAGACATGATACAACACATAAAAAGCACAGACATCATTAAGCAATCGTGGGCTCAAAAGGCACTCCACGGCAAACATCTTTATGACCTGGCCCAGGATTTTGTTGACAAAACTGCGTCAAACAGCTGGTTAGATCGGTGATGCCTATTTGGGAAGATGGAAGGATTCATGATTGCCATAGAGGATCAGGTCAAAAATACTAAAAACTACAGAAAATACATACTCAAAGATACAACACCTACAAATGACACATGCAGAAAACGTCACATCATGCCAGAAACTATACAACACATTATTTCTGGTTGCAATCTTTTGGCACAGACACATACTTACACAGACACAATCAAGTAGCAAATATAATACACCAAGAGCTTGCAAAGAAACACAAATTGGTAGACATCCAGGAACCATACTACAAATATATTCCACAGATCGTATTGGAAAACAACACGCACAAAGTGTACTACGGCAGAGCCATAATCACAGTTAAAACAATTTACCACAACAGACCTGACATCACACTTATTGACAAACACAATAAAATCACATACATTATAGACATAGCTGTTCCAAACACTCACAATGTACAAAACACATGCACTGAAAATATCAGTAAGTATACAGAACTTGCTCAGGAAATAAGGCATCTGTGGATGATGGAAACGGTGCTTATCGTACTTGTCGTTCTCTCCTGTACAGGTGTGATACCACACACGCTACACAAAAGCCTGGGAACATTACAATTGAATAGAAATACACACATCACCCTACAGAAGGCCACTATATTGAATACATGCCATATTTTTATGAAATTCCTGAATACAGACACTGATACTGACAAACTTATTTAACTTTAGTTTTATTTTGGTTGCTATGATTTGACTCTGGTCTGGCATAGTACACAGCCACCGGTGTGAACTGAGTATAACCCACTAAACCCNATAATCACAGATAAAACAATTTACCACAACAGACCAGACATCACACTTATTGACAAACACAATAAAATCACATACATTATAGACATAGCCGTTCCAAACACTCACAATGTACAAAACACATGCGCTAAAAAAATCAGTAGGTACACAGAACTCACTTAGGAAATAAGGCATCTGTGGATGATGAAAAGGGTGCTTATTGTATCTGTCGTTTTCTCATGTACAGGTGTGATACCACACACACTACAAAAAAGCCTGGGAACATTAGAATTGAATAGAAATACACACATCATCCTACAGAAGGCTACTATATTGAATACATGCCCTATTGTTAAGAAATTCCTGAATACAGACACTGATACTGACAAACTTATTTAACTTTAGTTTTATTTTGGTTGCTATGATTTGACTCTGGTCTGGCATAGTACACTGCCACTGGTGTGAACCGAGTATAACTCACTAAACACAACAATAATAATAATTATTATTGTTGTTTAGTGGTTTAATCCTTAAGTCCCAAGCCCAAAATATCTCGGGAAAGTTGCATAGCGTTATATAAAACTCGGTCTTTAAGGTTATTTTTAAATTTTTTTTTTCAATTTTTGGAATGTTTGTTAAGGTGCTAAATTTTTTCAAAAATTTTTTTCCTCGCGAAAAAATTTTATCGCGATTTTAATTTATCTTTACAGACGCACGCTTCACGCTTTATTGCTTTTTAATTGTTTTTAATGGGAGTTTGATATCAAATTTTATTCATCGTTTTAAAGTTGTAGTGCATGGATTTTCCTTTGGTAAAGTTATTTGAAGCTAGTTTGTGATGTCAAAAACGACCTCCGATAGTGTTTTAATTTTTTTAATTGATAGATTTTATTATATATACGTTTAATTAAGTCGAGGGTCGGAAATCGCAATAAAAACGTTAATTTTTTAAAAATATTTTGCCAACTAGTATTCACCCTTCTGTAAACCCATTGCCTCCCGAGACTTCTATGAGAATGTCCCGGGATATCCAACTCTGGCTGTGTTCAAGGTCATTCAGCTTTTTAAACAATGATTCATCAAAGTAAAATTTCACAGAAAGGGGAGACAAAGGAAAATAAAATTTGAAGCTTTTTCTTCAAAATTAACGCATTTATTTCGTTTTTTTTCAGTTTTAAGTATATTTTACGTTTAATTAAATTAATATAAAAAATTGGTAAAGTCCTAAGGAGTTAATAATAATTATTATTATTGCTATTATTAGTTATTGTTATTATTAATTAATTGTTAATAATATTGATCATTATAATTAAAACATATTTAATATAAAAAATATTTTACAGTTGCTCCATGTAATGATAAACTTAATATCACCACAGAAATTTATCAGCTTGAAGAAAATCATACCTACATACTGGTAAGTGCTGTTTATTTGTATTGAAATTAATTCATTCTTAGCAGAAGATTATACATTATTGCACTGGGAAAGATGGATGAAGCTGACAAACATGACAATATTATAAACCACGTTTCTACTAATTTAAAATTAAATGTGAGTACCTGTGTAGTATAAACATGAGGTTTTACGATGAAGTGACTTATCAACAAGAAATGGTTTTTTGTTTGAAAGTAATTTAGTAGTTATGGTGAAAAGTTTTATTCCAGCTCATTATATAAATTTTTGTGTGTGTCTCAAAAGTTTTATACATATTCGCTATTTTATACCGTAACTAAACATTTCTAATAGCATTATATAAAATAATACTTGCATTAATTTTGATAAGTCGTTTCTTACGTGTTAGTTATTTAAAATCTACACTAACGTACAAGATGTAACAATTTAATTCTCGTAATGCAACGTTAAAACTGTTTACTAGTGGCTACAGTCACCTTCAAAGTCCTCATGCATGTACACACTGACGTAAACGGCATTTATTCATTCATTCATTCATTCTTTTTTTATTTAAGTACATGGTACATTTTCTGGCCCAGCTAGAGCATTACGAAGAAGTTATACATATTCTTAAATATATAGTAACCAGTATTTGTATACATATACAATAATAACAAATAATAATAAATAGTAATAAACAATATGAGAAAATAAGTTATATTTTAAATACGCTCATGACATACATTAGGATAAATAAAATTATCAAAACGAATTATAATGTTCAGATAAACGAAAGAAAAAAAATGCTTAGTAGTTCATATGCAGAAGAGCTCTTGGAGTACATTGCAAATGTGTACTTTAAAGTCCTTTAGTTCTAAAAAGATCTTTGTGTCAGTGAATATCACTTGCACCCAAGTAAAATTAGTCCTTATAAAAGTTAGTGGTTTGAAAGTTACTACACATGTCTATAAATAGTTTGAAGTTAGTTGTGTAAGTTCATTGAAAAGAAACAAGGTTGAGCCATCAATAAGCCGAATGCCCAGTGAAGGTAGAGTTATGTCGATGATGCTGCTGTTGTGCAGATCATCTAAGCACAAAGGAAACATAGCTGAGCTACAAATAAATTGAAAACCCAGCGAAGTTGGAGTAGGTGAATTTCACTGCTTTGGATCGCATTGAATGGATTTCTCTTTTTTGGAGAGCTCTTTGGTAAATAAAGTCCATTTCACTATGCGCTTTGAAGGACCATAAAGCACTTTACACGTTGCATGTTGCACTTTGAAGCCCTATGAAACACTTACACTTTGCACATTGAACTTTGGAGCACTGTATAACACATTGTAGTACTCGTTTTAGCATATTGCACTTGTGCCAACTAGAAGCACCACGAATCACTTATAGCACCACACAACACATCAAAGCACTAAACACACTTAATCATGTTGCACTGTAAAGCTCATTTTGAAGCATCATAAAGCACTAGAAGCATCATAAAGCACTAGAAGCACCATAAAGCACTAGACACCATAGAAAATTAGAAGCACTATAAAACATATCAAACATTAAAACATTAAGTATGTTTCACATTGAATCACCAAAACACATGAAGCACGTTGCACTTGTAGCACCATAAAACACTAGTAGCATCATTTATCAAAAAGCACCATAAGCACATAGAAGCATGCTGAAACACTTTTAAAACAATGCGTGGTTGAAACATTGTGACACACTGTTGATGAAAAGAACTTTAAATCATTAGCAATGCACATTTAAGCACTACAAAACACTTTAAACACAATGAAGCATTTACCAAGCATTGAAACGCATAGAAGCTCCAACGAAAGACCTTGAAGCACTTGAATGCCCATAGAAGTATGCTGATTACATTTCATACATTGAAATTCTCTGAAGTATGCTCGTCACAAGAGACGATTACAGCACAATGAATTTCGTTCAAGCAAGCTGAGGACAAGCCCTTTGAAAAGGCATATTGAAATTATTGTAAGCAGCACAACAGAATCACCAGTACAAACTTATGTCTCATATAAGTCCACTTTAGTGGGCAGAGACTGTAGAGCTTAACTCATTCAAGGTCTCAGATCAATGAAGGGCCCAATATTATCACAGCGTGCACTGATAAGCAAACTGTTGAAAACATAATGCCAAAACTTAAACACAGTTATTTCTCATAGTGGATTAATGTCATAATGCCCAAAGTTGAAATACAGACATTTGTATTTTCAACAGGGATTAAATGTCATAATGTACAAGTCGATAAATATAGGATTTTAAAATAGTCACAAAGGCAATATATAACTCGGTCTACATTCAGTTGTGGCATTTTATAAGTACATCACAACTAGTCAATCAGTCACAGACACTTCCCAACAGTTAAGTAAACCAAGAATACCGCCACACTCAAGTGTATAAAGCAGTGGTTCCCAACTTTTTCTAGAATGCAGAACATTTTTGTGAGCAATTTTCTTTAGCGGAACACTTATTTATGTTAATATGAAGTAAATAAGCTTGTCATCAGTTATTTTCTTAGAATTGAGCAGTTATAATTCAAAATCTCTACTCGTATTATTAACGCCAATTTTAGAACAGAAAAAATTAAACCTAAATAACTTTAATGGGAAATTTGTGCCTAATGTATTTTACATATTTCTTCTATGTTGGGACGTATACAAGACAATGTCACCCTTATTTCTTCCTCTAAATTTGTCAGTCTTTCTTTTTGTTTGGGTTTGTATTGGTTAATATGGAAAACCCAATTTCACATAAATATGAAGTTAAAAAAATAGCAAAATTCATATGGCTTTTTTGATATCAGTGGATATTCTTGTTCAACCGATATCCAGAATTCATCAAAATTCATTTCAGCGTGTTTGATTTTCAAGGAGCAGTCAGATGACAAGGATATAAGCTCCTCTTCCTTTGAGACATTAAATTCAGAATTATTATATAATTCTTTTGAAATAAATGAATTCCTAATCTAGTAATATTTGTCCGTATCGAGAGAAGAAAAAAAATTTTTTACGTTGTTTTCTAATATTGATGAATGTTCTGATATCAAGGAAACAATATCGGTATTATTATGTATGGAAGGAAACAGTGAGATTATTTTCTTGTACTCTTTTTTACCAAAGAATGATCTTCATGTGGAAAGCTGACAGTTTGTCCGTTGATGTTAAGATGTTTTCCTGTACACCTTGCATGGTAGTATTCACAATATTCAAATAATTAAATATGTCCGTTAAATATCAAAGGTGGCACACCACATATCATTTTTAAGATTTTCTGAAAAGCAAATATTTTTTTGTTTGAAGAAAAGTATCAATTCTTTTTTTAGTTCCAGTACACGAAGCAGCATTTTTCTTCAAGAAAGCTACCTGATTTCTGTATGAAAAATTAACCCTTCATATTTTGCTTCCATCATTGCACACAGTTATTTAAAAATTCGGGATTTCAACGGTCTCGCCTTTATGTAATTTGCCATATTAACAACGCTAGTAAAAACATCTTTTAATTCTGCAGGTAATGTTTTTGCAATAAGCAATTCCCTAAGTAAGAAGCAGTGATTTATATAAATCTCACTGTTTCGTTGCTTTGCAAATATCACAAATCTCTTGACTGAGCCTGTCATTGATGGAGCTTTATCAGTGAAGATTTCCACGCATTGTTCCCAGTTCAAATCGAAACATTCAAAGTAAGAATTGATAGCATTATAAATGGCTTCTCCATTCGTTCTTTCTAGTAACTCTCTTCAACACAAAAATTCATTGACTATTCTATTTTCTTTAACAAATCAAATGTATCCAAGTAAAATGGCTTATCCACTAGTATTTGTTTATTCGTCAATTTGAAGAGCAAAAGATATATTGTGATGTTTACTTGCAAGTCGAATACGATTGTACACTTTCCGATTTCCGACTAAATCTGCGGAACACTTGGGAGATGCTTATGGAACACCAGTGTTCCACGGAACACCGGTTGGGAACCACTGGTATAAAGCAATGAGCATCCATGTATACATAGGTAGCCACCACAAACAAATGAATAAAAGTAATGGCGAGAACAAGATAATTGAGGTACACTCACTCAGCACTTGCATGTAAATCAAAAAACACAACACCTTAATTTGCTGAGAAAAAATTTTAATGAAAAGCAAACGTTTTCAGCCAAATCTGTTGGCCGTCATCAGGCTAAGTTTTTTGAATATAAACAAAATGGAACAAAAATTTAAATACAAAAAAATAAAATAACGAATGAAATATATATATAAATGTATAAAGAAAAATAAAATAAAATAAAAACTCTTATTATAAAATATGTATATGAAAAATAAGCATAGGATAATTAAATATTAAAAACGTAATGTAGCAATATATGATGCGAAATTCGATGAAACGCAAGATATGCTAAAAAAACCACTAAAAACAAGGCATTAAGATCTGTCCAATCGTTTGGTTAGGTACTTCCAGGTGGACGGCAACCCTTCAGCATCTCTAGAATTAATGCATGCATCATGCAATCTGCTTTTGTATATTTCAATTTTTTCGGCGCAAATCGCCAAAGTCGGTAAATGTATCGGTTTAATAATAATTGCTTTGTCCCATTCGACGATTGAGCCCTCAACTTGCGCCAATTGCGATAGTATTTTGGCATTAGATCCCTTGCTGATATTGTATTTGTGTTCTTTTAATCTGACTCCTAAACTTCTATTAGTGACACCAATATAATTTTTATTAATGTCTAGTTCACGATTATCATATAGAATCTTGTATGGCACAAGTCT